CTTCATGTTACCATGACACTATAGACATAGCAGGAGCTCTGGTAGCACTGTGGTTAAGGCATTGGACTGCAAACCGAAAGGTTCAAACCTGCCAGCTACTCTGTGAGTGAAAGATAAGGCAGTCTGCTTCTATAAAGATTTATAGCCTTGAAAACCATAAAGGCAGTTCTACTCTGTGCTACAGCATCACTGAGTTGGAATTGACTTGATGGCAGCAGGTTTTTTTTTTTTTCTTTTGTATAGACATAGTAACCAGGATGCCAGAAGGCTCAAGTAAGCATTTAACCACTTTCTTTTATGTCCAATTCACATGATTCATATCTTACTCACTCACTGCCATGGAGTTGATTCCAACTCATGGTGACCCTCACAGGGTTTCCAAGGCTATAAATCTTTATGGAAGCAAACTATCTCATCTTTCTCCTATGGAGATGCTGATGGGTTCAAACCACCACCCTTTTAGTTAGCAGCCAAATGCATTAACCACTGCACCACCAGAGCTCCTTGATTCATATCTTCATATTCCTTAATCCAGCAATATAGCAAACAATAGTAACAATCTTCCCACTGCTATCACAGAATCCCATTTTAGAACAACTGCTCAAGTGCAGTATTCTTTGGCCTTTCACAAAGGGCTCCACCTAATATCACTCCATCCTGAGCACTGCTCCTAATATAATGATAAACTCAAATGAGTAAAGGATAATCTAAAAAATTTAACTGATTAACAACATAAAAAAAAAAAAACTACTCTTCTGCCCGACAATTACAAAAGTATATGTCCTACAGTCCAAGAGTCTTACTTCAAAGATTATTTTTTATCCCAAACAGCATTACCTAGAGACAGACAAATATTTACCTATTGGAGATTTCTCTTCAGATGCTCAGAGTGGGTACACTAGGTAGTTTGACTTTTTAAAAGACTTATCAATTTGCCCACATTTTCAAAGTTTTTATTAGGGTCAATCTAGTTCAGAGGTCAAAGAGTTAAACCTCATTCAGATGCTACTCATTTCCTTGAGATCTTGAGAAGTTATCCAGTTTCAAAATGCCAGCACTTGAAAAGACCTTGGAGGCTATCTAATCCAACCATAGTGTTTCACATACTGAACTAGGTGAAAGTACTTTAAAAAACTAACAAACGATGACAGCAGTACACAAAAAGTATCGTTTTCACCTATGAAAATGAGGTACAATAGGATTGGAATAGTGTACTGAGGCCTAGGGAAGTTAAACAAACTTATATGAAGTTAACGACACAGAATCAGGCCGAGAACTCTGAGCTCCCAGCCCCCAATCTGACACCCTGAATATGCCAGTTGAATATACTATTTTAAATTGTTGTGAGAAGTTTCCATAGAATGTATGAAGAACATATTTATTAATATATGACATATGACAATGTCTAAAAAGTAAACTGTTAACAGATTGAATTGTGTCCCCCCCCCAAAAAGTTATGCTGAAGTTCTAATTTCTGGTACCTGTGAATATTACTTTGAAAACGGTCTTCGAAGATATTATCGGCTAATGGGAAGTCCTGCCAGAGCAGAATGGGTCTTAATCTCATCTGAGTGGGGTTTATAAATGAGAATAGACACAGAGACAAGGCGGCCATGTGTAGATGCATCTATAAATTAAGGACCAACAAGGATTGCCAGGAGCTACAGAAACTAGAAGAGTGGCATAGGACAGGTGCTCTCTCAGAACTCTCAGGAGAAATCCAGCCCTACTTTGGCTTTTTTGCATCCAGAACTGTGAAACAATACATTTCTGCTCTTATAAACCACACAATTTGTGATATTTTGTTATGGTGGCCCTAGGAAATCTATTCATAGATCTTTCAAAACTAGTAAAGCAAAAAAAACCAAACTTACTGCTGTTGAGTTGGATCCAACTCAGAGACCCCTCCTTGGGTTTCTGAGGCGGTTTCTCTACGGAAGTAGATTGCTCAACCTTCCTTCCGAGGAAGTGGCTGGTGGGTTTGAACCTCCAGCCTCCTGGTTAGCAGTCAAATGCTTTAGGCACTATGCCACCAGACCTCCCTCAAAATTAGTAGTACAACTCAAAGGACATCCTCTTTCCCAAAATTGTACTTTCTCTGCATTACTATTTCCTACTTCACTCATAATTTCACTCTCTAACACAGGTTTGAGGAGCTCTGGTAGCATAGTGCCTAAGGTACTTGACTGCTAACCAGAAGTCTGTCGGTTCAAACCCACCAGCCACTCCTCGGAAGGAAGGTTGGGCAATCCTACTTTCCGTAGCGATACTGCCTCGGAAACCCAAGGAGGGGTTGTTATGAGTCGGGGCCGACTGGACGGCAAATAACAACAACAACAACACAGGTTTGAGGAAAGTAGTGGTTCTGTGGTAGAATTCCCAACCCTCCCTGCCCTGCAGTGTGGGAGACCCATGTTCAATTCCTGACCAATGCACCTCAAGTATAGCCACCACTTGTTTGTCCGTGGAGGCCTGCATGTTGCTATGATGCTGAATAGGTTTCAGCAGAGTTTCCAAACTAACATGGAAGAAGCCTGGCAATCTGCTTCTAAAAATCAGCCAATGAAAACCCCATGGATCACAACAGTCCAATCCCATTGTCCATAGGGTCTCGCCATGAATCAAGGGCCAACACAAACTGAATCAACCTAACCTCCTGCTTAAAGTTTGTTGATTTACAATTTTAATGATACAAGTGGTTTCCATACATTGCTATTTTCAAACACTTTTGGAAAGAAAACAAATCTGCACCCAGTACTAATATCATATGGATGCAGGTGCCCTCTTCAATTAACTACTCAAAGAATCAAGGTGTTTAATACTGAAAGTAAATTTAGCACTTAACGTTGTAAATAACTTTGCTGAACAAAGATTACAAACACTTCGTTAATAACAGGCTAACTGCTCTTGTACAAAATTATTTAAACTCGATTATGGTCAGAGGCCTTTTGGTGCACAGTGCCAACAACTGGAGACTTCCAATGGAGATTTCTGGGTATACTGTTCATGGCAGCATTGCTCACACTTCTTTTCCTAAAATTGGTAGATGAAGGCATAGAATCAGAAGTTTCAAAAAACAGAGTAGGGAAGAAAATATTCAGTTTTTTTCTTGGTTGGATTTAGATACTTGGCAAAGATCTATTTCAAACATAGTCTACTATGGAGCTATTGCTACATATAGACATCAGTTCTTCATTTCACACATTATTCGGTTTACCTGCCTCCTGTCTGACCCTACTACTTTATATATTCAAGCCGAATTTTCTCTCTTGCTCTTCCCAGCATGAAAGGCACATGTGCTCTAAAAACCAACCAGTCTGACGACCACGGTCCGGCATGGTAAAGGCTCACCCAGACAGGCTTTCTGGAGTGCCCAGGCCTAGCAGTCCAGCGGAGCAAAAGGGGGTGTGTCTGCGGTACCATCGCCCTCTTTTCCGCCACCTGCAACTCCGGCCCCGGGCCCCCTTTCTTGGGGTGGCCCAGGGATCTGTCTCTAAGAGCATCAAACCCTGAGCCACCGGTTCCACCTCTTTCTTTGAGGGTGCACTGCACTTTTCGGAATCTTTCCTTCCTCCTCCTCCCAACAAGAAGGTAGGGGTGCACCAGAGAATCCTAAACCACTCCCATTCTATATGACCACGCAGCAGCCCCTTTCCCCACCGAAGGCTTCCTCTGGGCACCCCCATCTTGGGAACCTGCATTAACAGCGACCCTCTCCTCCCTCTGACACACAGAGGAGGGAAACCCACAAGTGAACCCAGGGACTGGGGGACAGCGAGAGAGGCAGGCGGGGCATCTGGGGCGTCTTGGGAAAAAAAAAGGCTGTCCCCAGAAGTCTCGCTTTAGGGGGCGCAGAGGGTCCCCAAAGCCGAGGCCGAACCAGAGAGTGGGCAGAGGCCGAGCCGAGACATAACGGCGGGGGCCGCCCGGCCGCGGGGACCCACCAGCTGCTTCAGGTCCTCCTCCGAGAGCTCCGCGTAGCGGTACCGCTGCTGTTCGAATTCGTACCGGGTGGTTTTGGCCACCACTACCACCCGGGACGGGCGGAAGCCGCCGTCGGGGCGGCTGCCACAGCTCGCCAGCTCGCGCGGTTGTCCCTGCCCCAGGTGCCGCGGCCGCGCGGCGGGGCCTCTCGCGCCAGGCCCCCTCAGCGCCGCCGCCCGGCCGCCCGCCACGCGACGACAGCTGCCCAGCAGGAAGCCTCGGTAGCAAGTCATCGTCGGCCCCGCCGGGGCAGCAGGCACCGGCTCCTGTCTCAGCTCCCGCCGGCCGGAGTGTGAGCCGCCGGTGCCGCTCCAGCCTCTAACTTCGCGCCGGGCGGGCAGAGGTTAAGTGCAGAGCTGTGCGTGGCCGAGGCCGCCGGAGGGACGTGCCCAGACGTTAACGGGGGCGGGGAAAGAGAGGCGATTGGCAGGAAGGAGAGCATAGCCGAGAGAGAGTTGGGCGGGGTGGAGGTGGAGGTCCCGGGCTGGTGGGTTTTGTTTATTTGTTTATGCGATTCCATCCACGCCTGCGCAGTCGCTGCTTCGCGGCCAGTGTGCATTCCCTGCGGCTCCACCTCTTTCGCTGTGGCCTTTCTTAGCCCTCCCCTTGGGCAATCCTGTCAGCCAATCAGAGCCCATTATGGGTTCGGAGTTCGAGGAGCGCTTAGGATTGGCTGGGGCTCGGGGAGGCTGGAATTTTATTTGTCGTTCGAGCTGCTGGAGGAATCGAGCTGGAACCGGTCTGAGGCGGCGGAGGAGTTGTGGGTGGGGTTCTGAGTGTCCGGCGGGAAGGACGGACAGACCTCTCTTATATTCTTCTTTTTCATTATTGCCTGTCAGGGTAGATCTTGTGCCCTTTGTTCATTTCATTTAATCAACATGTATTGGATGGCTAATGTTTTCAGCCCTGGCACTAGCCCAGACCAGCTACACAGTTTGCGAGGGTGTAGTGAAAAATGAAAACCCGGAGTCGCTCGTTCAGAAATGATTGAGAAATTCAAAACGGACAGAAGAGCATTAAACCAAGCCTTGAACCCTTCTTAGAGCGACTGCAACCCCGGAGGCCGGCCCTTCCGACCACCGGAGAATCTTCAGCCCCGAGGGAAAAAGTATAGCCTTTAAGGGTTGAAGACGATAATGTGTGGAGGATTGCGGCCAGGTAGCATTTCTAGATGGGGAGAAAGGGTTGAAAAGGTAGGTGGGACGACGAGGGTGGAGAGTTACAATGTCAGTAAATTGTACTTTTATCCTGTAGACAGTAGTGTGCCCTTTGAAGACTTTTTGCAGTGGAAGCAGTGTTTGGTGACTAGATCTGGCTTTGAAATGTTGGGTGGATTGGTAGGCGGGAGTTGGGGGACTGTTGGAGGCTGTTGGAATAGTTAAGCACGATACGGAACTGAACTGCGGTAGTAATAAGAATGGGAAAAACAAAACAAAAAAAAAAACTCTCACTGCCTTCCAGTCAGTGAGACTCAAGCGACCTCTCCTTGGGTTTCCGAGGCGGTATCGCTACGGAAATAGATTGCCCAAGCTTGCTTTCTAGGAGTGGCTGGTGGGTTTGAACCGCCAACCTTCTGGTTAGCAGTCAAATGCCTTAGGCACTAGCCCACCAGAGCTCACTGAGGAAAATCTGTTATAAAAGGGAGAATCACATGACATTGCACAGCCTAGTGTTTATGCGCCTTGCTCCTCAGATTCGCTTGCTGTGGCGCTCTTTGGGCCTTTGAAGTCCCGGCACTACCAGTAGCTAGCTTTTGGACTTAAGGCGGGTAGGTTAATTTATATTTCTGAACCAAGATTCCTCATCTGTAAAAGGAGGGGATTGAGCTAGGGTTATTCCAAGGGTCTGTCAGGCCCACCAGCCTCCGTTCATTCATAAGTTCACCCAGTATTTACTGAATGCCTGCTATGTTCCATGTAATGTATTAGACTGGGGAATAGGCAGTTGTATCTGATGGGTGTCTAGGTTTAGAAGGTCACTGACCTCTTCTTTTCAGCCAGGAATTTTGCCTTACAGTAGCTGCTAAATAGAGACTAACTTTAAGCACAACTCTTAATTTCTGGGGGATGTGAGTTACTCATCCATAACTTGAATTTCTTCAAGTCTCCTTCTAGTCTTGCCATTCTGGCATTTCATAATTCATTAGGTATTAGGGAGGAAACAAAGGGAGAAGTTACAGATGAGCACGTAAGTTTGAAGCCCAACTGAGTAGGAAAATGTTCATCATCTGTTTAATAGAAGACAAGAATAGGAGAACCTATTTTGGGTCAAAACCTTTGAATTTTGTGGTACATAAGAAATTCCAAATCTTTTTTCTTCCCAGTTCATAGATAAGAAGTCAAGGAGTTGGCTTTTCCCCATTTCCAGCTACAAACGTATCTACATTTGTATCTCAGTTGGATTATCCTTTTGTACATGGCTTTTTGGATCCTGTCTCCTTCTACCTCAGAAATATTGTTCCAGTTTATCTTCTCATATATCTTTAATTCTTTTTCTGTACTGGATTTTCCTTTTCAGTATTTAAACATGCTCACGTCTATAATAACTTGGGGGGGGGGGAGAAAAAGTGAAGCCCTATGTCCGACTGTAGCTTTTTACTGTGTTACCTATCTTTATAGATAAGATATTTAAAAGAGTAGTCTGCTCATCGAGGCTACATCCCTGCCTCCTATTCATTCTTCAACCCTTTCAAATCTAGCTTTTCCCCATAACTTCACTAATTTCTATGTCCAAGGTTACTAATGACTTGTTTGTAAACTCAGAAGTCATTTTGCAGATCTTTAAATTACTTGATCTTTCTGCAGCGTTTGACATGGTTATTTCTTCTTGAAATCTTGTACTCTGGCTCCCAGCATGCCAGTCCCTAATGGTGTTCCTCCCATCTCTGTAAGCCCTTTATGAGTTCTTACTAAGCCCATCTCTAGAGTCTATCCTTGGCTCTCTTTTCTATCTTTCTGCCCACCCTCCTAGGTGATTTCATCTAGTGTTGTGTAATGGAAAGCACTTGGGCTTTGGAATTACAAAGACTGGGTTTAAGTCCCAGCTTTACCATTTACCAGCTTTGTGAATCTTAGACTGGTTGCTTAATCTTTCTGAGTCTATTTCTTCCTTTGTAAAATCAAATAGCTACCATGTTGTTGTTGTTGTTATGTGCC